AACATCAAACATTTACATTAATTTGGCAAATTATGAAAATAACAACATAAGCAATCAATCAGGAAAAATCATACGGCCATGATTTTACCGTTGCTGCACCACAGACATTTATAAAACTGTACAACTATGATCTTTTACCCACACGGATGTGAATAAGCACTTTACACAGACATTTCTAAATATCTGGGAGAATTTCTACTTCATAGGAAAGTTTAAAGATGGAAAGAAGTTTAGAGGGAGTAAAGGATTGGGTTTGAGGGAAATTGAATGTTACCAGAACCGACACTCTCCATCAGAAGCCCAGCTCGCCTCGGTACGCTTGGTAGGAAACTTGACCCATTACCTCTCTGATGATAATCAGCAGATATGGTGTTCCGTTAACGCTACCGGTGCAGCGTCTCCTTAGAATGGCTGTAGCCCGTCAGAAGTAGTGGCGAGGCTCTGTTCGACACACATTCACCTCAGTGGAAAATGTTATAATCCCATGGAACTCGGAAGAGCTTCGTTGTCATGTCAGGAACCCCAACAGCACTCCATCAGAACTTTAGCTCTCGTGTAGTTTACAGAACTCCCACAGAACTCTTGAAGTCTGACAACTCTCCAACTCTGTAACTCCGTGAGTCTCTGTGAGTCTGTGTAGACCAGGAAGTACTGACATTTTAAAGACTCTTTCCCGGTTCACTTTTTGGGATTTTTCATTGGTCAGAAACGACCAGAAGGGGTGTGTTTTTGTGACGTAAGGGGTTAGAGACAGCGAGAATTGTTATGAGACAGCTCAGAAATGTTCTCACAGACCGAGAGGGTTCTGTTTTGGCGTGCCTAAGACACAGGTGCAAAACATCTCTATTTACGTCTGAGAGGATTCTAAAACATGACAGTTTTAACATAACAACTTGTTTTTCGTTTGACTGTAACCTTGTAAACGCACACACTTGCTCATTCAAAAGCAGAAATCAGAAAAATGCATAATTACTCTGCAACAGCTTTTAACATGAGAATAGAAATCATTACTCAGTTAATAAAATTGATTAGTTCACTGCAACATCTAAAATGGTTTGAACTAAGACACTTTGATTATCAACATTTGTAAGATAGTAATGATAATAAAAAGAGAGTGTTCTTTTCACTTGAATCTTCAAGAAAGAAAGTCTCAGGATGGGTGAACCTGTATTTATGAATTCAAATACATGAAATGACAGCTTCTGTCCCACAAGGTTCTAAAGGTCAAGAGTTTTGACCTTAGACTGGGTTTCGACGTAGGCTTAGTCCACTACAAAAGATTGTATACAACTAAAAGTACACTGTAATAATTGATTAGTGTTGAACATTTGGCTGTCTATTCTTCAAGCATCAGCTTCTTTTTTTTTTTTTTTAAATAAACTGATGCCAAAAACTAAGATCAATTTAATATATGTCCATGCCATCAGTCATTTATCCTTTTCTTTGTCTCAGCTTATCAACTTCAAAACTGCCAGGATCCTGCTCCTTTTCCAAATGGTGACATCATTAAAAGTGACTACAGTGCTGGCCAATCAGTAACTTTTCAGTGCTACCCTGGTTATGTTTTGGTTGGACACACGGTGCTAACATGTCTACATGGAACAAATCGCAAGTGGAATCACCCATTTCCTCGCTGTGAGGGTAAGAGTAATCCATAGCCCTTTGGTGTGGTTTTCATGATAATGTTTCTTAGGTGGATTTAATATATGGTGAAATTTTAAGATGAACTAAAGTATACAATCAGTAAAAAAAAAAAAAATCACTTTGCCTTGTGTGTTTTTGGGTTGTTATAAACTTACCCCAAAAAACAAACAGAAAAAACATGGTTCAATCAGTTTTAGAGGCATACTTACATATTCGCATTGTACCTCGGTGCAATTCCAATAAAGTTTATTCTGATTCTGATTCTTCTGATACTTCAAATTAACCATTATTGTGCTTTTAGTCATGATATTTATTACTATTTTTCATGTTAATAGGATAATTATCACCCTTCAATTACAAAGTTAATTCAAGAGCACTAAATTTTTTCAAGATATAAACCGTTTGCATAAATCTTCCTCATTCTACAGTCGAGCTGTTAAGGCTGATGTGGTTTCCACCTCTAGAATAAATCTGGTATTAATCCCATTCCTCACCTTCTACAGTTCAAGTGACTCCTGTCTCATGAGTTTTCCAAGTTTGTCATGTTACAGAGGATTGGAAATTTTCACATTGACAGTCTCATCTCTGTGCTTTTTACAGCTCCTTGTGGATATAATGTCACTGCTGAAAATGGGACCATCTATTCACCTCAGTACCCCAATGAATATCCCAACTCGCAAGACTGCAGCTGGCTCATCACTGTTCCCCACGGACATGGGGTTTATATCAACTTTACTTTACTGCAGACAGAGCCTGTCACAGATTATATTGCTGTCTGGTAAGTCAGCGTACATTCACACTCGTCCATGATGTCTGTGTACAAATGTAGACAGAACTGTGTAGATTTATTGGCTACATGGTGGCAATAACTACATCACTGACAGGTACTTTCTTTAAGTTTATCAACTCACTCCAGTCTGATGACAACATATGATTCACTTTATGGTCCAAATGGATAAATACAACCACATACAAGTTGGTATATTTATACACTGAGGCCACACCTTTCCTTAAACTAACAATACCTACACTCACACGAGCTTTGTTCTAAGAGTACATAGTCTCTTCAGCAATAATAATGGGATTCAGTGTAGAGGTTAGAGTATAATACAGAGAGTGTGAGAGTAATGCATTTACAATAGGGAACACTGACCAATTCAATCTAAGTCAATCCCATGGCCAAATGCAGGCCCACAGAGGATTTGGAAACTCTGGAAGTAATGATGAGAGTCAGTGGGGAGTGGGAAATGTAATGAAAAGAGTGGCAGAGCAGGGTTCACACATCTTATGTGGCTCAGCTGGATCTGACGAGTTTGAGTCAGTCCAAAAGAAATATTTCATGAAGCAGTTTTGTTGTGTGTCATACATCCTATCAACAACGGTGTAATGGGCTTTTTTTTTAGGGAGGAAATAACGATCAATTATATTTTAAGTCTTATCCTGGCTTGTCGTAGGTTTAACACATTTAGAGTTAAGTTTTAATTTTCAGGTTCAAGAGAGCAGCTGCAGGCAATAGGAGAGCAGGCATTCACAGTCAGTGACTTCTAGTTTTCAATCTGGCCAGCTAGAAAAATCTTCAATTTAGCCACATAGAGGCCCTGTACATGAGTTATTTTGCTGTTGCAAATTGATTTTTGGTGATTGATGTGGGGTTTTTTTTTTTTTTTTTTTTTTTTTGGTACATTTCATCAGGAACTAAATTATAAAATTGCATCTATATATTGTAAGGGACCAGAAGGACTTGGTAATGTGAAACTAGTACATACATGATGGCCCAGTCTTGTATTTCATGAATATATTTGGAAGTGACTAGAGCCTGACACTGAAGAAAAGAGTGCTTTTTTGTACACCCAGTGGGATATCATCTACCTTCAAGGGTCTTAGACAGATTTAGAGTGGCTGATCCAAAGGTCTCATGCAGACACATTATTTCCATGTAAACCGATTCCCTTGTCAACGGTATTGCAATCGGTTACGTATGATTTTTTTTTCTTCTTTTTTATGTTTTGTGGGTGATTTTTAAAAAAATCTATTCAGACAGAAACAAATTAACTTATGTAAAATCCTGACTATCAAGCGCAATGACTTCATGTTGCATTCACGGCTGACACCACTTTTTGAGCACAGCCTTTCATGAACTTTTTAAAAACGTGATCTGTAAAAAGAATAGGTAAATACATGTATTGACAGGATTTGTTTAATAAAATCAAATAAATGATATTATCTAAGACTATGAGACTGGGGCCAACATTTTTGTCATGATTTGGGCAACTGGCTTCTTGCATTTCCAAATTCATTTATATGTGAAACGGAACAGGAGACAGGGTGTCATGGATGCTCTGCTGAGATTCCAATAAATTGAATGGCAGAATAATTCAAGTGTGATATTAAGAATGTATTATGTAATGTCAGGGCCTTTTGCATGTGGAAAATGTCAATCAAGAACCAAAACAAGCTTATTTATTAAATATCAGTAAACTCTTTGCTGAAACCTATGCTTTTTTTGATTTTTATATTTGCTAAAAATGCTAGAAATTAATATAAAATAGCACCGGCATGTACATTCAGTGAATTGCTATGCTTACTATGAACAAACAAGTGGTTGATATTTGGATCTATGATGCTCTCTTTCTTCACCAGCCAGCTCATGTTTTGACGTTCTCGATGCAGACATGTAAAAGATTTATTCTGGATGTAATCGAACATGTCAGGCACACACCACAGTGGCGTGTCTGCTCGTGGCTGCCTTGTCTGTCTTGAGGGTTTATGTGACAGCAGTTGCATCCAGATGTCAGAAACTGAAGCCAAACTGTCCCTGTGGTTTTCCACCAGTTGAGTTTGGCTTTATGCCTAATGCCAATGAAGCACTGCTAACATTAGGCAATGGATCCAACATCAGACTTACTCTGTAGGGATGTTTCTAACGACGAACCATTTCCAACATGATGTCTGTGTACCTTTAAGAATCTTGAAGGCAAGGAATGAGAGGAAATCATTTATAGCCGGTTATTTATTTGAGCATAACAAAATGGAATTTAAATTTATCAATCTATTACTGTGGTGTATTTAGGAATATTTCAAACCTAATTAATTTTAGATTTAAAGTACATTTATAACAACCAGAACTGATCAAAATAAATATACAGTCAAATCCAACTTTTAAAATCAGGGGGAAGCCACAAAAAGCAACCATAATTAAGTTTATATAAAGTTGCAGATGTGTTGTTTATATAAATGTCACAAATGTTTATTTATTTACTATCATTCTCAGAAACTGGAGTTGTATAGCTTGACTTTATTGACTTTGCAAATGGGTTTGACTAAGTGGTTACTTTAGGTTAAAATCATTCAAATCTTTGGGGAGCTCCTGAAATGACTATTTAAAAAGGAGTGTTTTTCCTTTTGGCTTTGTGCATGTTTTAGTGCATAAAAATAAAGTTGCACAATTTGTATTCAGTTTGAATTTCAATGACCCAAATATGGCAGTTTCACTGCTTGAAATGAGCTCCCACACCTTCAGCGCATCCTGAATTATTGAGGAGCAACGAGATCTCAGGTGCTCCTCATGAATTAAAATTTTAAATCTCTTGTTTAATCCAACGGCGCGTCCATTATAAACTTAAAACTGGTCATTGAGGAACAGGACCTTTCAGCAACATTCAATATTTAATGAGTAAAGTTAGGCTTTTAATCTGAAGGCTTTGTTAATGAACATGTTCGAAACATGTTTAATAAAGAAATAAAAATAAAAGACTAAAATTTCTGCTACTCCTTTAGTTAACGAGCATGTGGCTTTTCCATCTGTTTCAATTCATTAACACTGGCTGCTTTTGGTGTAGCTTCCCCCTTCTAATTAAATCCATCTGCTAAAATTAACTGTATCAAGCAAATGCTACGAAGTTCACAGTGATCCCAATTCTTTGCTCTCATTTGGCAGGAATAAACCCATACAGACATCACTCAGCATTTAGTTGGATTCTCATTTTGGCTTTCATCATATTGAGGACCAAGTTATTTCTAAATTTAAAACTTTAGACAGATTTTCAGCTTGCTAGAATAATCAGATACTTTAATTTTGAACATCTGAAAAAGACTGATCAGTTTATGCAGGCATATAAAAAAAAGAACCAGGCCACATGGAAAAAATAAAATGTTTTATTCTTACTTTTTTTTTTATTTATTTCCATTAGTTTGTGTGGTATTTTGTTTAGACAAATCACTCATTTCTGTCTGTGCAATTTTAGCACTTGACTCGATCGCAGTTTTTATCCAGCCAATTTTTACGCCGTATGTGGACTTATGAGTATATTACATGTAACGTGTGTGAACTTATACTAAACTTAACTGTTGCATGCCTGCAACGTATGCATTATTCGTGAGCAACACTTTGGCACATGCTAAAAAGTTTGTGCATGTACAAAATCATTGATTGCCCATCGTATATCGTGCTTGAAACGTATTCAAAAATCACACCTAACTTAAGTGACTTACACACGAGTGTTTAACTTTTTTTTTTCCATACATTGGCATAAGTTCTGTAAAACATTATAGTGTGAAAGGGCCTTTACAAATAAACAAATATTTTGATTATACACTTTCATTGCACTGTTGTTATATCCACCATACACTTGCCATTTTAAGTACTGTTAAAAAAAAAGATGTCAGTTTAGGTTGAAATGGTGTAAATTAACATTTTCAATAATTTTTTATATATGATCACTCGGTGGTCTTTTCGTGATCAACATCAAAATGCTGTTTTTTTTTATTTTATTTCATTTTTATTCCATTAGGGATGGTTCTGATACGTCAAGCCCTCAGCTGGGAGTCTTCAGTGGCAACACAGCATTAGAGTCGGCATACAGCACCAGCCCACACGTCTTGATCCGATTTCACTCAGACTTCTCAACTGGAGGGTTCTTTATTCTCAACTTTCATGGTAACCTAATGTACAGTAGTATATACTGAATCTATGTTGCTTGCTGTTTTTATTTATCTATCCATCCATTCATCCATCCAGTCAATAGCAATAGGGGCCGGCAAAGGAGTAAAAAAACATTACTGGTAAATTATTGCAAAAGGACTGAACTAAGTGCATGAAAGATGAAAAGAAAGATAGTTTTATTGTTTTAATTTAAGTCCTCATTACTTTTTACTGTTTTAAAATGAGAGTTGAAATCTCTCCATGCGTTTCTTTCAACAAGAACCAAGTTAAACAACTTTTTTTTTTTTTTTTTATGTATGAAAAGCTGCACTTTAAGGTGAAGCTTTGTAATGTGGCTCCAAGTTTTGTGGAAATATTCAAGTATCAGAACCAAACAAGTTCATGAAAGGTTGGGGTATTTTTTTTTAACCCTAAATAAACTTGTGTGCCCCTCTTTCTAGTTCAGATATTGTGAAAAGTAAATGTGTTTTAAATAAAGTACAAATAATCTAATTTATTTTTTGAGCTTCTAAAATAAACTTTATATTGTTCTTCTAGGAGTTTTTTTTTTATTTTTTCTTTATTTATTTTGTGTGTCAGATTGTCTTAGATGCAGGAGTGTAATATTCACAGACCTGGCATGCACACAGTTCAAAATGTAATAATACATTTAAAGCTCTAATTCTGGTTTGGTGAACAGCAGTCAGTTTTTACACAACACTGCAGTTGGGACGCATAATCTCTTGACATAATTTTCCCCGTAACAATGTAATACACGCATGACTGCACTTAAATATTCCTTTTTTATTATTATTTTATCTTTGTGTCAGTAAAATGAACTGAGTGAAGTGATGTGTTTTCAAAAGAACTTAATAATTATCTGTGAAGGGATTGTTATATTTCCCTTCCACCTTCCTTAAAAATCTTCAGCAACAAAAAAAAAAAAAAGAAACCAACAACTAAGAGTTAATTCAATTTCTGTCAACTTGAAATCCATGATGTGTTATGTACAGTTAACAGTTTTTCTCATGTCTCCAGCATACCGACTGAAAAGATGTCCTCATCCTCCTGTTGTGGAGAATGCAGAGCTGATCCATGAAGATGAAGATTTCCTTATTGGTAATAATTATTTTAATTATCACTTATAATGATTAAGTTTGATTTAGGAAGAAAGAAAGAAAAATGGTAACGGCAAGGTAACTCTAACACAATCCAAAATCACTGCTACATTTTTAAGACCTCTGAGCCTAGATCTGTACATGAAATGATGCTAAGATTTGTTATGGACATTGATTGTCCATCCATCCATCCATTTTCTTCTGCTTATCTGGGGTCTGGTTGCTGGGGTAGCAGCTTAAGTAGGGAGGCCCAGACTTCCCTCTTCCCAGCCACTTGGGCCAGCTCCTCCGGGGAATCCCAAGGCGTTCCCATGCCAGCCGAGAAACATAGTCCCTCCAGCGTGTCTTGGGTCTTTCTCTGGGTCTCCTCCCGGTGGGACATGTCTGGAACACCTCACCAGGGAGGCATCCAGGAGGCATCCTAACCAGAAGCTCGAGCCACCTCAATTGGCTCCTCTCGACGTTATTGACATTGTGTTGTATAGTATTGTATTGTGTTGCATTATTCTACATTTTTTTCACTGCTACATGACCAAATCAAAATGTTCAGCTTCTCAGTCCAGTCACTGTATTGTTGTAAATGATCCATCCATCCATTATCTTTTACCCACTTCTTCCTTTTCGGGTCATGGGGATCACTGGTACCCATTTCCAGCCATCACAATGCGAGAGGTGGGGTACACCATGGACAGGTCTCCAGTCCATCACAGGGACACACAAAGACAAACAAGACAAACAACCATTCACTCTCTCACTCACACCTAGGGCCAATTTAGTTACCAAATCAACTCAACATGCATATTTTTGGTCTGGGGGAGGAAACCGGAGTACCTAGAGAAAACTCGTGCATGGAGGGAATATGCAAACTCCACCCAGAAATGTCCATGACCGGGATTTGATCCGACGACCTTCTCGCTGAGAGTCAGCAGCTCTAGCAACTGCACCACTGTGACACCACTAAATAGTTATGAAATAAATATTAAATGCTTTTGCAAGTACATAGTTTAAACTATTCAATGCATCATAGATGTTGCAGATGAAGCTGGACCACTTGATTATTAGCTGCTATATTTCTACCTGCTCTATGGGATTTTGTTTGCATTTACAAAAAAGTCTACATCCCATGTACCGGTATATGGGATGTAGACTTTAATGTCTACATACTGTATATGCAGACATTGCAGTACTGTAGTGCAGGTACCAAGGGCTCTGACCCCATTTAGGCTGGCTGCTTTAACAAGAAACTTCCAACCTGTTCTGTCCTTGATTTTATTTGTATGCATAATTACCTCCCAAAGAATAACAACAATCAGTAGACACCACTAGTTACAGATCAAGGAGAAGTAAGAAAACATTATTTTTGCCAGTATTTGGTGAATGAGACCATGCTCACATTTTATGCCAACCAAAATATTTATAAAATTATATAATCTGAATTGTCATAATAAAATAGTTTAAGTATTCATCAAACTAATCTGAGAAGAAAAAGTACTAATCAGACATTAACTCGGAGGTTCCCTGGACAGTTTTAAATGAATGACAGTTACTTCAGAAATATGTTAAGCTATATATATCCTAATGCTGTGTGATGATAGCTACACTTCAGCAGATTAACGGTCAGAATATAACTCTCCTAAAAACTATGACTCAGTGGAGTAAAATGGTTTGCTCTGCCACTTAATTCGGGGCTACCCTCAGTTAACATGTAGGATTATTGCTTATGCCTGGCAGAGGGCCATTAAAGTGACTTTACAGCATTGTAAAAGCAAAGTGGAAGCCAACTTCAAAGTAAGTGACTGTGTATGGAATGAGCTACAAACCATTGTGTAATTTAAATGCAAGTTTCATTCTGTGACAAAAGTGAACACCTGCCTAGCTACAGAGAATATATTTTATTCATGCCAACAAGCTAAAAGGCATTAACAATGATTTACTAGTTGAAGAAGCTGAGGAAAAATCCTGACTTTGGATGGGAACTTCTAATATTCCTTAATGACGTCCTAATACATGATCAGTAATCCAGGTAGATAAATCTAACAAGGAGTGCCAAGCAATGTCAAATTCAAAACAAGCAATGTCAAACCACCACCTTCCAACATCAGCAAAGAGGAGAGGGACATGCTCACAACTCTCAGCAAGGACAAGAACATCATCATCCTCCCAGCAGACAAAGGAATGGCCAGAGTGATTTTAAACCAGAAAGACTATCATGCAAAATTTATGACACTCCTTAGTCACTTATGAGCCACTGAAAAGAGATACAGGAAGTGGTAACAAGAAATTGATAGTCCCTGAAACATTTGGATTAGGACAAGGCTATTTACTGTATTCTGTACCATAGACTGTACCCAGTAAAGTCCATGCTTGGTTTACCCAAAATTCACAAACAACATCTACCTTAAGGATGAATTTTTAGCATGATTAACTCTGTCACTTACAATGTTTACAAAGATATGGCATCTGTACTCGTCCCTTTAGTTGGCAGCTCAGAACACCACATACAGAACACCATGAACTTTGTGGATAAGGTGAGGGATGTCATCATGTAGACTGATGAAACAATGGTGTCTTTTACCATACCATACCATACCACTTTATTTATAAAGCACTTAAAACAACGACAAGGCCAACCAAAGTGCTGTACAGACAGAACAACAGGTAACACACCAAGCAAAATACAAAATGAGGTAAATCAGAATATAGACATAAAATTTTGATGTCGCAAAACTATTTACGTGCATTCCTGTTGATGAGGCAGTAGAGGTGGTCAGTTTAAGATTAAAATCAGACACCACTTTTGGTAGCAGGATGACTCTTTCCACAGAACAAATGTGCCAACTCTTGAAACTGTGCCTGCAGTCAACCTACTTCACACGGGAGGTAATATTATAGGCAGAAACATGGGTGTGCTATGGGGTCCCCACTTTCACCTATTGTTGCAAACCCGTACATGGAGGAAGTAGAAAAGAAAGCATTTGCGTCTCAGGAATGTTGATAACACCTGAGATAAAATTAAACCTCAGGAAGTCCAACATTTCACTGGTCACATCAACTCTATGGATAAATATATAATTCACATGAGAAGATGTAAAATATGGTAGGTTGGCTCTCTTGAATTGTTAGGTCTCAGTCTCTAATGAAGGACATTTAGAAACTGAAGTGTACAGAAAACCTACCCACACAGAGCAGTTCTTTCAGTTTGACTCGCATCACCCACTGGAGCATAAGTTAGGAGTCATCAGGACTCTGTACCACAGAGGGGACAACGTCCCCACTAACTCAGGAGCCAGGCAAAAGGAGAAATCCCACATAAGACCAGCCCTGGAGGAATGTGGATATCCTAATGGTCTACCTGAAAGCAGATGAAACACAAACAGGACTCCAGCCAGCCATCAGGTGAAAAGGAGGAACCCTGACCAGTGGTCATTCCATATGTTGCAGGAGTTTCAGAAAAAATGAGACATTTATTTTCTATACATTACATCCCAGTGGCTTTAAAAGCCCAAAATACATTATGTCAAAGACTGGTCCATCCCAAAGCTCCAGTTCCCGGGCACAAAGAGTAATATTGTGAATTATGTTCAGTGCCAGGATGATTCTAATCAGTTATACATTGAGGAAACTAAACAGCCACTTGTCAAAAGATGGCTCAGCACAGAAGAGCAACATCATCAATCCAGGACTCTGTGGTCTACACTCAACTGCAAGCCAGCGGTCACTCTTTCAGGGATGAAGATGTGCACAACCTTGATTACAGGAACACTGGTTTGAGAGAGGAGTAAAGTAAGCCATCTTTGTGAAGAGATCCATGGTTATACATCCATCCATCCATCCATCCATCCATCCATCCATGGTTAAACAGAGGCAGGGCTCTCTGTGTTCAACTGTCACCCTTTTACAATGCTGTTATTATATCACACAGCCCTCTGTGAATAGCAAGTGCTCATCAGGGCACTAACAATTGGTCATCAGGCTGATGGTCCTCCTTTTGAAAGTGAACAACTAGTTTTGGGTTTCACCAGCACACTGGTTGATCCACTATGAGAAGGTTCTGCTTCTAAGACTGAATTTGCTTGCAGCTCATCAGACTGAAGAAGTCTTTGGATAAAAGACTAAATGTTTTAACAAAGAAGAATCTTTCCAGAGGACCTGACTTAGCCTTGTTAGACTAATGTATGACAGCAGTGTACAAATGTTCTATCCATCAATCCATTCATTATTTTTACCCACTTCTTCCTTTATGGGTCGCAGGGGTCACTGGTGCCCATGTCCAGCCATCACTGTGCAAGAGTCAAGGTACACCCTGGACAGGTCGCAAGTCCATCACAGGGACACATGCAGACAAACAACCATTCACTCTCTCACTCACACCTAGGGACAATTTAAAATTACCAGTTAGCCTAACATGCATGTATTTGGTCTGTAGGAGGAAACTGGAGTACTTGGAAAAAACCCACACATGCATGGATAGAACATGCAAACTCCACCCAGAAAGGCCCCTGGACCAGGATTTGAACTGGAATAACCTTCTCGCTGAGAGGCAGCAGCTCTACCAACTGCACCACCATGCTTCCCTCACAAGGTTCTAAAAGAGTAAAACAATAAATAAACATAAGAATAGTTTACTATATAATTGTGTGCTTTTATGGGGAGTGGTGGCACAGAGGTTAGAGAAAGTGGGGCTGTGATCGGAAGGTCACTGGTTCGACTCCCCGGATTGACAACATCAAGGTGTGGGTGGGATAGGTGAATCACCCACACCTTCCTTCACCCTCATTTGCCCCACTCTGGTCCCGTGAGTAAGGCCCTTCACCCCCCCCCCCCCCCCCCCCCCCCCCACCACCACCAATCTTCTGCCCTGGGTGCCCTAAATGACAGCTCTCTGCTCCACACAGAGGGCTGTGGTAGCTCGGTGGTCTGTGGTTGCGTCAGGAAGGCATACAGCGAGTTGATTTGCTGTGGCGACCCCTGAAGAAGAAGGGATCAGCTAAAAGAAGAAAAAAAAATGCTTGTGTGTGCATTTATACCTTAACCTCCAAAACACTGGACTTTCTAAAAGCACCAACAATCCCTTCATCCTGGTTAATTTCCCAATTGGTGGAATACTTCACAATACTAGTTACAGTATTTCTAAACTTTGAATTATAAGTAGGTCACTGTAACAGGGTGGGTACACTATAGTCTCTGATGGTTTTTCACAAGGCCAATTATAGACAAATTAAACAAACAACCCATTTTACCAACCGCAGTTCATTAGTAGTCACTGGCTGAATTAACACCAATGTGTTATATCTGTGGGGAGATACTGGGAGAAAATCCACATGTACACCAAGGAACTATGCAAACATTACATATAAAAAACTTTTTAGTTTAGAGGGTATGTGCTTGTGCTGTTTATTTGGGCTGAAATTTGTATGTGTTTTATTTTTTATTTTTATTTTTTTTCCCCCATATTACAAATGCATGGAACAGTTTATATATGATGTTTGGCACATGCATGTGGGACAGGCCTAAGAGCAAACACTAGCCTTGGCATTGATCTTGTATCCAGTTACCAACTCTCTGAGCAAGCTCATGGCAAATCTGGATGTTCTAGTTTGTTTTGAATTTATTTTAAGCTTCTTGTCCTACACTTCTTCATGTTGTGAGGTAGTGTTTGTATCATGGGGACATTTGTAGCATGTACTGCAGAAATGTATTGGCAAGCCATAACATTCAGTTTTTAAGATGGCAAGCCTTTCAAACTGTACTTCCTATTACAGAGACGCAATGGTATTCAAACGAAAAACAAAATCATATTTTATTAGAAAAACCTTTAGCAAGAAAAAAATAAACTAGCAGATGACAAACACAATGCACAATGTATTAATTTGATGAAAATATTGTATTTATTTCAGTCAAGTACTATTTTGGCAGTTATTTCAAGTTGAGTACTTTTTTATTCATTAAAAAATATATAACTAATGCAAATATTGGTGGAGGGCTATATAAAGGATATTTCCTGGCAACCATACTTTTATTTCTTGCAAAAGCTTAGATGTTAAATGTTCAATACATTGTATATCCTATTAATCATTTTACATGGAGCACCAACTTTTTCATTATTGTTGCATTTGATCCTATTGCTATTTTTGAGTGTGTTTTATTTGTCTACAAGAATTTGGGGTTGGATAAGGTTATTTATTTAAAATATTGTATCTATTGTGGTTTTTTTACAGTTAGCTATGTCCATTCTTTGCTTTATGTTGTTCTAATTTAATAGTTATTTAACTGAGTAGGGAAATATATAGAACTAGCTTAAGTATGAATATGTTCTTGATAGTATGTGACTAAACATGTTCTTTGTCTTTGTCTTTCCTCAGGTGATGTTGTGAAGTACATCTGTCTACCTGGGTTTACACTGGTTGGAAAAGCAGAGCTGATGTGCAAACTTAATTCCCACTTACTCTTTGAAGGCCCTCCGCCAAAATGTCAAAGTAAGGCATTGCTCATTTCAAATTTTGATTAATAATTATCATATGAAGAGTACAGACACTTGTCTGAAAATCAGATGGCAGAACCTCAACATTCAAAACCATTGTGTTGATACAAAGTTATGAAGAAGTAGTCTTAAAAACATTAGTATTAAAAAAAAATGTATTTGTTCTAATGTGTCTGCTCCATAGTAGATGGTATACTAGTTGATATTCAGCTAATTACTTTATCTAATGCAGCCTATACTAAATAGGTCAACTCATACATACATTGTTTTACTCCTACAAATGTATGGGTTATTTTAAAGCTAGCAACGCTCCAAAAAGGCTAACTGCAAAGTGAAGGTCAATATCAAAAATATACAATGATTGAATTGCCCATTTTAGAAAATTACATTTTCCTCTATGGCTGAATGCTGAAGGTTTAGGTGTCATTTTGATACAA